AAGTGAAACTTAAAACCGAGGGAGAGGTACAGACATGACTTTTTATATTCATATCCAAGCATAATAAATCTTTAGCCGAATAAGGAATGGGAAAGAAGTAATGTGTTATGTTACAAGTAAGAATAGAATAAGATGAAGATGCAGTATAACTCAAACCAAATATGCAGTTATATAACTTTAGTCATTTTCAAGCGCATTGTTATGCAGATTGTGCTTTTCATTATACACTAACGTAATCGCCTGATTGAGTTCAATTTTTTATTAGGCAAGTGAAATAAACGTTAAATATTCAGGTTTAAACTGTGATGGATACTTTAGAACCTACGCTGCAAAATGTGATCAATCAGATGACATTGAAATGGATTTTTGTGGGTGGTAAAGGTGGTGTGGGTAAGACAACATGCAGGTATTAGCTTTGTTTTATCTTCATTTTTCTTCTTTCAGTTTCATAACTATGCAGTGGATTTGGTTCTTATCCTGTATTATTTTGCTTAGATCTGTATGATTTATGATATGTCTTGATTATTATCCTGAATTGTAGTCCATTATAGAAGAATATATGAAAACATGTTCGGAATTTAGGAATTTGTGCATTTTCCATGCTACTGTAATTGCAAATTCTTGTTTTGCTAAAAGCGATTAATTGTAATTAATTGCAGTTGTTCATTGGCTATTCAGTTAGCACAAGTACGACGAAGTGTGCTTTTAATTTCCACTGATCCTGCACACAATATATCGGATGCTTTTGCACAAAAATTCAGCAAAACTCCAAGCGCCGTAAATGGTTTCAATAATTTGTATGCAATGGTTCGTTCCACCAATTAGCATTAATCTTTCACTCATGTTTATGTTACTTCATGTTTGTCTGCTTTTTTGTTTGTAGGAGATTGAAGCGAGCTTCGGAAATGATACTCAAGTAGTGAATCCTGGAATAGAGAACAATGAAGGAGGTATATCTTTATAATCATTCATTTATTATAAGAAAAAATAACAAATAGAATTTTAAAATACATCTTTGAAGTTAAACACCTAGGATTAGATATTTAAATCAATTTTAACTGCAGTGAAATTCACTTGTGGTGTTCTTTTTTCTTCTTCAATGTAACTTCTCTGCATTATGATTTTTGTATATTTTTAAGATTAACTGAATTACCCTATTTTTTGAACTAGTTTATGTTAACTATCGCATATTTTCTAATATTAGATATCAAGTCGTACTAGATTTATGTTTCAGACATGATGAGTCTTGGGCGGCAAGTATTGCAAGAAATGGTTGGTGGTCTTCCGGGTATCGACGAAGCAATGAGCTTTTCGCAAATGATGAAGTAATAAATACTTTATAAAGAGCTTTTTGGCATTAATTTCAGGGCGCTTTAGCTTTCTTTCTAGTGACTTTGTGAGTTAATGCTATTTTTCTTCATTTCCATAGTACTGTTTAATAGTCGGCTTCCGTAACTCTTTGCAGTAGATACTGCTGACCATACTGGATATTATAATCCTTTGAAATATCTTGTCGAGTTGTTCGCTTCGTGTACTCGTTCTGATGTGCTCCTCATTGCCTTTTATTTATCATTCACTTCACTGCTGTATTTTCAGATTGATACAATCAATGGACTTTGATGTGGTTGTTTTTGACACAGCTCCAACAGGTCACACTTTAAGATTATTACAGTTCCCAACGCTTATCGAAAATAGTTTGGGCAAACTTATCGGTCTGCAGAGTTCATTTGCTCCTCTAATGACACAAGTAAATTTGTTTTGCTCAAAATTACACTATGTCTTAGTTAATACTTCTTTATTAACTAGTGGTATCGTTTACTATATAAAATTTTTTGACACAGAAATCTTGAGTTAGCTTATGACAGCAACATTATTTTATGAATTAAGAAAAAGTATAGTTAACTTATTCGGTTAAACGCAGATATGCACAAGTGATGTTAAAAAAAGGAGTATTGATATCACTATTTTTTTTATCATTAATTTGCATCTAATAAGTGAGTTAAAATGAAAATATGTTTTCTTATTTCCACAATTATAGTTGATGTGACAAAAAAAGATTACAGTGTGGTTGTATAATATCGATGTATGCTTTACTTCTGCTTGAAAGTTGTAAATAGTATGGTTTTATTCATGTTTTTTTTTTATTTCCGATATGTTTCATTTTTTATTTGTTCATGTTTAGATGGGTGGAATGTTAGGTCTTGGTGAAATCTCAGCGGATGATACGACAAATAAACTTAAGGAGACTTTGGACGTAGTGAGGAGGATAAACTCTCAGTTCAAAGATCCGGTATATTTTTTGGACCCTGAATTGGAAAATATTCTGGAGTCGCATGCATTTAGTGCAGAAATCAACTTTTAGATTTTTGACCGTTATTAATAACACATTTTTTAATTTACTGCATTCATAACATTCTGTAGATCATTTTAATGATGAATTAGTGAGACTCATTCGTTGATGTCTTATAGGACCTCACTACCTTCGTTTGTGTATGCATTGCTGAATTTTTGTCTCTCTATGAAACGGAACGCCTTATTCAAGAATTAACGAAACAGGTCCTAATTTTTTCATGTATACTTCTTTAGCAATGCTGTTTCTCTTATTCACTGACGCTAAAAGAAAACTTGCAGGACATCGATACGCACAATATTATCGTTAATCAATTACTATTTCCGGAAGAAGATGAAAGTGGTTGTATAAAATGTAAGAAATGTTCGGCAAGATACGATATACAGAAGAAATATTTGGAACAGGTTTGAATCAACATTTTAAAATATTTCTTATTTTTGGAGAAGTTTTATGCATAGAAAAGAATTTTTATAATGCTTATCATCTTGTTTGCGACCATCGTTTTGATCTTATCACTGTTAACAGTGGTACAGAAAGGAATGTATTTTGTTTATTGATTTATATTTTAGATTGCTGATCTTTATGAAGACTTTAATGTAACTAAACTGCCACTACTTGAAACCGAAGTTCGTGGTCCCGAACAGCTGCGCAGTTTCAGTCGCTATTTAGTTGTCCCATATGATTCAAACGCTAATTCCGTTAATGATTTAATGACTCGCTAATATTGCTATAACTTGTTTTTTGTTTTAAATTGATTTATTGCTGTGCTTATTGATTAACGTGAATTTATGCTGACCGTTGTGATAAAAAGAAACACAGTTTTATTCGAAAGATGTTAGTGTTTATTAAAACTTGATTTAGAAATTTAAACAGTTTTTAAAGGAATGATTTATTATATACTTCGTTTTTTTTTTTTGTTTTGAAATTTCTGCACTTAAAAGAAACGTTTAATAGAATCAATCCCTTAAACATTATTATAAGCGAATCAGTGGAAAGCAACAAAAATGGTTCCAAATTTTTCTAATTCGGTAGTCGTGGCTTCGGATAGTGTTGGCAATTTCCGCTCTCGCTAGGCTCACTTCCCGTTCCTGCTGGTCTGGCACTTCCACGTGTTCCAAGTTTACCAGCTGAATCTGGAGTACCTCGTGGACCTGCTGATTCATCTAGTGACTTACCATTACGGCCTGATTTACCTCGCGGTCCATAATTTTTTGATGAACCGTTCCTTCCTTTGGGGCCGCATTCTTGAGATGTTTCTACATTAATTAAGCTACCGGTGTATCACCTTTACCCTTAGAACCAATTTTTCCCATCTCACTGGCCGAACCCTTTGCTCCTCGGAGACTTGGTTGTCCATCTTTACTATCTATACCATTTTTGCCTAGCGCTCGTTTTCGTTCTTTGACTCTCTTAAGACCGAGCGTCCACGATTGTCCACCTGGGACTTCTGGACAGATAACAAGTTTAGTTCCTGTTGATTTTAAAATTTCTATGCATTAATGACTAAATAATAAATAATGAAAGAAAAGTATTTGTAGGGAGAAATATAAGCAAAAATTCTCTGAAAGATGAAATTACGAAAGAATGAATTTAATGAACGCTGAAAACATGATGGAAAGGTGGGAAAGGAGGGGGATATTGATTTGCTCGTTCCGAATTCTAAATGAAATTCATTCCACAATGGTGTCAATCTGTCATTCTATGAATAAAAATTGAAAAACAAAACCAGAAGGATCTATTTATCACATTACATTTGCCTATTTGAAACAGAAAAATAAAATAAAGCAGGCATATCTGCCTTTAGCATCAAAATAATTTTTTAAATAATCAAATGTAATTGATCCTTCTAAACTTTCATTTTCTTTGTTCACACAAACCTTTGAGTGTGATTATTTCACATAAGAAATCAGAAATATTCGTCTAACTTAACGATAGTTAATTAAAATTATATTTCAAACTAATCATCTCGTGGCAGACAATCAAAGACCATCTGACGTGTTCTGTATACTTTTCTCTTTTTAATAATTCGATCCGACGGATTTTACATCCTGCTTGCATTTCTCTGTTAGCTTTCCGACGCTAATCAAAACATGAACTTGCAAGGTTCACTTCAAATAAAGCATAATTAATTTGATGAAAATTCAGAAAAACTGCAGTAAAATAAAAGAGGAGAAATGAATGGCAATTCATTAACTGCATTTTATTTCATGAAGAAAATTCGATACTGTACAATACAAAATTAAGAAAATCACAGATATTTACAATCAACACCGAGGACAATATACGGCAGCCTGATAAGTCCATTTTCCGGAAAATGCTTTATGCGGTAACTGTATTGATGTTTGTTGCTTTGCCTACAGATGTCAATCAATGAAAACATGATGAAAACATTATAAGCCGCCAGACTGCTTAATAAGTGAAATAATGCATGAAAATACGGTGTTCCTGAAATATTTATGGCAATGATGTTTAAATATATCAAATACTGAAATTGAATTTTATGAAGTTTGACCAAAAGATTAATTTCTTTATACCATCTTCACGTATCACTGCAATAAAATGAAATGAAAGTTGGAACTGTTATTTCAATCATTGTAGAAAACAATTCGATTTCTCAGCAGTTTGTCTGAAAATATTTCCATGCAAATAAAACATACCCAAAAGAAGCCAGAAATCACAGAACGCTCGATCAGATACCCAACAGATGGAAGCAGCAATCCACAATATCGATATTTTCCGTGGAAAGCTGATGATCTCAGGAATACCAGCACTGAAATAACAATCAATAAACTACTCGAATATATTGCTAGAATACAACTTTTCAGAATTCAAATACCGTTTCTCAGTATCAGGAAAATTTATTCTCAAAAGAATAACTGAAAAATGGACTCACTTAGCCGCTTCATGATGAATGATAGCAACGCTCGGTATGGACCATAACATTAGTACCAGTGCATTTAATGATGGCTTCACAAAACAAAAAGTACTGACCAGTATGGTCAGCGCTGCTATTACGCAGCGCACTCTACCACTGTAAATTACAGATAACAGCTCAGAATTTATTGATTTCAATGATTTCAGAAACTGAATTTTCAGTATATTACATGAAAATTATGAACGAATGGAAAGAGAGATTAATAAAGGAATGACACGGATGGAAGCATACATGTATTTATGATATTGCTTTGGATAGAAACTGAAAACTGGAAAATAAACAGCCAAGCATGTCATCAACAACCACAATATACTAATTTCATCAACTAGCTGGCCTGAAATAAATCATATAAATATTTAATTGATGAATATTTTCGTCTGCAAGCAACTTTAAATTATTTATAATATTATGATAGGTTAAAAGATTTTCTGTTTTGCTATACACCTTCGAGATCAATGCTTGACATTATCAATTTTTAGCTTCGTAATTATTAACAGGAAATGATAAGCAATATTGATAAGTAAAAAAATTCACCAAAAAGATTAAGGGTAGCATGATAATAAGTAGATGCAATACCATTTACAGTAAGAAGGATATGAGGTATAATTACCATCCAGTTAACACTCTCAACATATGGTCTTATCAGGAGTACATTCACAAGTGGTAACATTATCAATGGTAAATTTGTTATCTGAAATATATTAAATTATCCAATTTATGTATTAAATTCTAATACTTGAGAGACAATGAGCTAGAGACTTTTAATTTGAGTAAAAGGATAAATAACATTTTTTTTAACTAAAATAAATAATGAAAGATGATTTATTGGAAATATAATGCTTTGAGATAGCATGCAATTATTGTCATCGAAAAGAATTTGCATATAAAATTACTATTCTCATTCTAACCTTTTCATTTCGACTTTACTACTGAATAATTTGATATTTCAAATTATGAGAGGAAAAAAGTGAATTTTAATTCATATTTAATTTTTCATGCTGCGGCTGCTTTTTTTGTTTTATGTAAGCTATGTTTACTAAAAATATGAACAAAAACAACTGACAGTGTTAGCGAATTCAGCAACAATCGAGATAATTTGATATTTGTAGGCGCTCTCACACCACGTATGTCCACTTTCGTAGTCGAACCATCGATCCAGTCGCATTTTAATCGACTCCAATGGTTAAGAAAGCTATTTGCGAATCTAAAAATTTCCATTTTATAAATGCTATAAAATTATAATTTGATAAAATTGCGATCGACAAATAAGAATTTGTAACTCGTTTTTTATGCCTAATGCTGTCATGACGTATGTTAAAAATAGAAAGAATCTTACTATTCTGTCCAAAACTAATTAAAATTTAAAAAAGTAAAATTAAAATTTTTTCAATATGTTTTCACTTATTTATTTAAAATACTTTAAATCTTTTAAACGTCCACCACATATATATTTTTTTCTTTCAATGATACAGTATATCGGATGCATGATTTAGGAAATTCTGCGCAAGAAATTTTTATATAGTCGAAAAAACTGAAATTACAATTGGAAGTGAGAACAACTAATAAAGCAAAGAAAAACAAAAAATAGAAAGTACAGAGAGGAAAATTGACAATTAAAAGTGAAATGAGTTGCGAAAAATTTGAAATCTTCTTTTTGCTATTTTCACAACAAATGCGTTTTTTATACACATCATTCGAATAAATCATTGTTAATAAGAAATTTTTTAACTCGAAATTTGAAATTAAAAAAGTACACAGACTGATTATAAATTATGCATTCACATCAAAAGAAGAGAAAAAATGAAGTCTAAAACAAGTCTACCGCACCCAGCAGAATAAAATTTAAAACATTAAATTATTTAAATAGGGTAAAAAATTTTAATTCCTCGCAGTTGCTAAATTTAAGAGAAATTTATTTTGATGGCGTCAGACAAAAATTATCAATATCCCCGGAGCTATAAACACGATATCCTTTTATTTATTCCTTGAAGTTCGGTCTTCCTGTGTGATGTATTGTTCATGATGACTTAGTTGAACATAAAGAAAAACTTTGCTAAAAAACAAAATATGAATCAAAATTTTCTTATTTTGTGAAAAATGATTTGGCCTGATTCAATTAGATGAATCTGTCGGTTTGAAATGATTCATTGAAAACTGGAACTAATTTATTTTATCAACTAAAGTGGTTTTTTTTGTTCGCAGCAACTGAACATTGAATAAGCAGGCCTACAGTAATCCCGCAATAACTAAGTAATCGATAAACTGAAATCAAATAACTCAATATAGATAGTATCTCTTTATCATATCTCAAAGAAATTTAAATTTAGACTTGTTTACATTTTTCATCCAAATATATTATAAATAATTTATATTCTTGATATATCCTCGAAATGAATTTGAAAATATTTTAAGTATATAAATTTAGCACATCAATTAGGAACGAACGATGTATGCATGGTGATGTTCATATACAAATAATTTCGATTGATGCCGTGTTTTTTAGGCCAAGTATACAAAATATTCGAACGACATGATGAATAAATAAAATGTCAAGAAAGATAAATTAAGTTTTGGATTCGTTGATTTAAATAGCATTTATTAGGATTTGAATTTTGTTTAACCGCAAAAAAAATTTTGCTTTCATTGTGTAGGAAAAATTTTATTTCAGAGAGAAAATTTACCGGTTTGATTTCACTTGATTAATTTAATCATTCAGTGTTGGTGATACTGATCATTGTTGAATGTGTATTGATATAAATTGGAGATTGTTGTGCTTCGATTAATATTTTAGCACACTTTAAAATGCCAACCAATTATATCTTTAAAAAAGAATGAAATAATTAGTAAGAAAAGCAGACCTTCGTTGTAAGTTCAAGAAAAATGAATTAGGAAAGTTAGTCATTAAAAGAAATTTGGACCAGCTGTGCCTTATCAGCCAATAGCAGTGATATGATTGATATTTTTTTACAATGTTAACTATAAACTTTTGAGTCTACTGAGACAGTATGTTATTGTTTAAAAAAAGTATATTATTGCTTGAAAAAAATTATGAATTGTCATAAATATTTATGATGCAAAAAATCCATTAATTCAAAATTTAAGTACTAATAGAAAATTCCAAAATTCAGTAAAGTATTTTAAAATGCCACTTCTTTAATATGTTTCAAGCGAACATGGTAAATGACTAGGATGATAAATTACTAAACATTCAAAAATAATTTCGGTGTTTGGAGAAGAAAAAAAATGTAAAATTCTTAGGTGATATTTTCCTTTAAATGTATTACACAAACAATGGCGTGCATTATTGATATTATACTTCTAGACATTTCCAGAAATTCGCAAATTCTATGGATATTTGGTTTCATAAAAGCCGAGACAGATATTTTTTTTGTTTTAATGGACAATAAGACCATTCACCTTTGAATGAAGGAAATGGACAATAAGATCCTGCATTTAAATGTAAATGCAGTTTAGTATTTGAATTGTTAACTTAGAGTGATTTGGTGTTCTATCAATACACAGGAATGATTTATCCTAACATCTTTCAGTTACTGGAATAGATTTACCATGAAATGGTATTAATATGAAAGAGGATGAAAAGAATTTGTTAAAATTATAAAGATGGTGGTTGTTTGATGATGAAGCCATCGCTAAGAACTGCCTGCTGATTGTAACAGAGTATATAAAACTTGTTCTTCTTCATTGGGCGTAAAAACTTCATTTCATGTAATCTTTTTGCATATTTATCAAAGTGATAGATCATGATAGAAGAAGTTACTGAGTTAAAAATGAAAGTATTCGTAAAAGTTTTCGTCGAAAAATTTCCATATTTTCCAATTTAAGACGATCGCAGTTATTCATCTATGAATATGCATGCATAACTTAGTAACTTGCAATCCAAATAATCACAATGATTCATTTCTTAAAAACTTATTATAATAACTTGGAGGATGGTAGCGGTAGTTGTGAATTAGAATGTATAGAGAGGAATAATTGATATATTATTATTTTATCAGGCACAAGTGAAATTGATGATAAAAATGCATAAATAAAAAATGATTCCATCGTATCGAAGTACAACTCATATTGCACTAAACATTAGTGGTTGTCGACTGCCCAAATGACTTAGATCTTAATAGTTGTTGCTAAAAGCATTAGCCTCATTCTGATTTCTTCAATCAATCTCGAATCCAAAACAATCTTTATATTTCAAACTTTAAAGAAAAAAATAACTAGCAAAAGAAATATTCCATCTTTCCATCTAGCAAAAAAAAAAAAAAAATTCCATCTTTCACAATTCGATAACTAACTGCTATCCTGAGAAATTACTCTGCAGGTATTTTTCTAAAATCAAATTGATAGAGCAAAAAATATTTCACCTGCTGTAATCAATCATATAATGATATTATGCATAGTGCGCGTGTACTGTAAGAAATTGAAAAAAGTACTGCAGAAGTGCAACGAAATCTGTAATGAATTGATATAGTATGAGCTGTTCGTACGTATACATCAGTTGTAAATTTTTGTAGAAACTATTCTATTTTTGTATTCTCCCGCACTTAATTTTAGCTAATTTATCATTCAAGATGGATTAGCTGAAATTATGTAAAGGGAAGTGCAGAAGTTCTGTTTCTCGTGACATCTTTTAGGTGCAGTGAGACAGAATCATTTTGAATATTTCCCACTATGCTATTAATAGAATCTTAAATAATCGTTGGCAATGCAAAAGTTTCGTGATTTGAGAAAAAGCCGTAATTTATAGTTTTTTAAAATTAATCAGTTCAAGAAAAAAATAGAATGTAATTTTCAGAACATGGGAGAGGAATAGAAAGCAAGAAAATACCAACAATTTAACGAGAAAGGAAGAGATGAAGAAAAAATTTATTTTTGGTGTAAGGGATAAATTTAATCATAAGATTTCGAAGAGCAGATAAATTTAAACCTTTTCATGTTGTGTTTATAATTACTCTTTCATACTTTACTTGCATTCAATAACATGATTTCGTTGGCATTTTGCATTTTCACATTATTATCATTATAAAATAAAAGTATTTCTCCATGGTTTTTTTTGCAAAAAATGTATTTCTTTACCTATAAATCCAATAATCTTTTGCCCTACTAAAAAACAAAAATTCGAAAATTATAAAATGCTAATCTATAGGTATTTCAATCACTTTTATCGATGATCAGAAATTATTGTTTGCAAGAGAAATTAAAATTCAGGTTCGGAATTCAAAACATATTTGTTTGCCAAACTTAAAACGCTTAACATTTGCCTAAATAATTTAATTCCTTACCACTTATACAATTATCATTTGCGAGCAAACAATTGATTAACTGCTGATAACCTGATTTTTCTGCGCTATTCCTATCGATTAAATTTTTTTACAACAAAAACTTTATACCAAATTAGCTAAAGAAAAAATATGTGTAGATGAAGAGTTGTTATTGAACCATAAAATCTATTAAAATACAGAGAAACATTGCAAAATTAAATTCTAACAGACACCTTACAATAATCAAAATGAGCAATAAATATAAAAATTGTTTCATTTCCCACAAAATTCTCAATAACTTTCAATTTTTGATTTGAATTTATTACCAAGGTCATCAGGATAATTAGCTCAAGAATTACCTATCGATATTGCACCAATCTTTCTGTAATCTAAATTTTTAGAGAAAATAATTTAAAAAAAAGAATCAATGGATTTGAAAAAAATCAAAAACAAAAAAAAAAACAAGAGCTTAGATTTTACACGTCATAATAAATCTATTAATTTAAAAATCTGAACAGAACTGAACCGGTCGTTATCTCAACAAAACCTACACGGATCATCGCTGTACATCATGCATATCCGTGTTGTGCGCTGCTACCGATGATTACCGGTAATTCTTTTTTTGTGGAACTAGTTGTAGCAGAAAATTTCACACTCATCAAGAATTTTAAAAAAAAGAAGAGAGAAATCGATCGGTGTATCAACAATGGGAAGCATATGTCAGATTTAGCTAAAAATTCAGAAAAAAAAATCATCAAAAATGCATGGCATCATTTCCGCCATCTTTTACAATTATATTGAACAAACTAAATATGAGGTCATAAAGATACACATCTCATTTTGAAAATTGATGCGAACAGCAATAACATTTTTGAATTTTTTAATTCAATTCAATTATACATCAAACTCATTTTTAAGTTCAGCATTTTGAAAATGAGAAATTAAATAACTTCCCTCATGTTTTTTCCAATTTAAAATAGCTTATAAAAAAGCATGAATTTATTCAAACATTTGCTATAATGAAGATTTGATGATAAGAGTATAATTGTAGCTAACATGAAATATTTTGCTAGAAAGTTGTTCCATTATTTCAAATGAGACAAAAAATTTTATGAATTTTATTACCTAATCCCTCGCTTATCCAATTACAGCGTGGGGCATAATCCATTAACTTTGAAATTAGCATTCATATACGCAAATAACAATACAATTCGGTTTCATTTTGCCTGAAGAAGTTTAATGTATAATTTTCTAATGGAATAATATTCAAATAACTAATTTGAAATTCTTCAATTTTACATTCTAGCCGATCCTGCCAGTGCCATTCTGATGGTCTAAAAGTAGCACATCAATTTTATCCAGAAGTGTTAAAAATTCAGTGAAATAGTACAGGTTTTCTTGAAAAATGATTTCTATCAACAAAGAATTCAGAAACAGTGAGTGATAAATTTAGCCATTTAATCAATAAAACAATTGAATATAACAAGTTAGTATTTTCAATCTCTTATTGATTGCACCTTATAATCGTTACCAACCCTTTATGTATTGCAAAAAACAAATGAAATAATTGGCAATAAAAAAAGTGACCAATCTGAAGAAGTCCGTGCGTTTATAATAACTTTCTCAACTCTTCAATTTGAATATTCCAGATTCAATTCTAATTTTAAATTTTCAACATTTCGACTAACAATTTATAACAAAAATTTTGACAAAAAATTTTTCTTCCCAATTTTTAATCAAATTTTAACATTTTTATAGATTAATTTTCTCTTCATTTTTTTCTTTGTTTTTTCACCTTTAGCATTCAGTAAAATTTATATTCATAAAAAAGAAAAAAACTAACCGACGATAGACTCTTGTAAAATGCTTCCACTTTCTCCCACACCTTCATTCTCCTCAGACCCTTAACCTCCAACATTAAATCCGATTCTCTCTCCCTCTCCCTCTCCCTCTCTCTCTGTCACAGAAATGACAAATGGATCCTCCTCATCTTCTTCATCTCTCCTACCTCAAATTCCTCACTTACAACATTTGGCACAACAGCTGCAACTTCCCCAAAATGCTCCCTTTTCATAAGCTTTCCACATTTCCTCTCCCAATATTAAACTTCCTCAGTCGTACAGCTCTTACGTGTCCTTACGTTTACTCCATCACATACGTATGATTTTAGACTGTCCTGTATTCCCATTAAAATAGAGCTAATTAAGACGCACTTGAATCATACTTTTATTGTGAAATACCGATTATTAGGTGAGTGTAACGTAAGGTTACGTTGAATATGATCGATCGATTAGTTAAAAAAAATATGGTAGTTTTAATTACAATGCATATTCACTGTTTATTTAGATTGATTTCCATGTTCCTTGGTCATGGACGTGTCTTAACCTCTCTGTCTAATCTTCTTGTTATGTGTGACCTTTTCAGTATCACGGTTCTTTGACTGTATTTGATGTCAACTGCACTACCTAAATTCATTCTGTATTGCATGGATGCCATACTATCTTGTATTTTTTAAAGTCTTTCTGTTTTCTTCAGTGGATATTTTAAGTGATTACCACTCATTGTAAATTGAAATATATGCATGCACTTCATTGACATGCAGCAAGAAAGACCGTGAACTTTTCACTTTGAGTAGTACAGTTGTGCGAAAATGTACTTTGATAAAATGTCACAATATATTAAATTGTCGTTAGCTTAGGCTATAATGATTTGCTGTTAAAACATAACTTATTTTATCAGCACATTCGTAAAGATAATATTGATTGAGAGAGGCCACAATTCAAATTTGAATTTATAAAATTTTCCCAGTAGATTAGCACTGAAATGTGATTTTTCTTATTTTGGAATAGAAACAGCAAGCTATTTCATTTGTCGATGCTTAGATCGATCAGGCTTTTTGGAATCCCTTTCATGTGCAGCGAAGCTAGTGGTGACGTTATGCGACATTGTGAGGTGTGATGTGTTGCGTATGATTCAGAAGAATCATACGTCACCATGTTAGGATTCAATAGAAATCAATTTGTAATTTTAAAATATTTAAATTTGTTGAAAATTGAATAATTTTCAGGGATGACAACATTATGGGTATTAACATTAGGTGGTGTGTTGATGTGTGGAACAGTAATGATGCATATGGCAAAGAGCATGCCGAGTTTGCTTGTGGTGACAGTTGCAACGGAGGAGACAGATGGCTTGAAACGATTAAAACGCACGGCTGATGCTAATGACATCAGACTAAAAATATTTGGCATGGGCGAGAAATGGCAAGGCGGTAATACTCGCATCGAACAGGTGGATCGATTTTGTTTGTCCTTTCAAACATTGTCTTTCTATTATCGAGTTAGCTAGAGTTGTTAAAGTGCTAATTGTTCTGTCATCTTTTCTCAGAATTATTCTCTGAAATGAAATACGCTTATATTTCATTTCTTAAACTTTACTCATCCAATTAATGTTAGTTCAATTGAAAGAGTAAAAGAAAAATCTGGTTGCTTGAAGTGCTTTCAAGGGAATCATTTTCAGGGTGGCGGACAGAAAATACGCATTTTACGAAAATCTTTGGAAGAATACAAAGATAGGAATGATTTAATAATACTGTTTGTTGATGCGTAAGTGTTCAAATTTAATAATACAAATATAGGTTTTAAATCTATATGTACTTATTTAAAAGATTTTGTCACATATTTTAAATAGGATGAATTAGATAGTGAAATTTAGTGGAAAGTTCCGAATAATCGATGAGGTTTCTTTTGGTGCTATATTTGTGTCATATCGCACACAGACTTTTAACGAATTTTGAAATATTTGTTTTTTCAACACTTCTGAATATTTTCAGTTAATGACAGCCATAAAATTTATTGCAGCTACGATGTGATATTTTGGGGCAATGAAGAACAAATTTTGCGGAAATTCTTCACCTTTTTTGATGGATTTCGTGTTGTATTTTCATCGGAACCATTTTGTTGGCCTAACAAGAATTTAGCTCCAAAATATCCACTTGTTAACTTCGGCTGCAGGTATAAAGTTTACAAGCACATTAGCTCCATTTATTAGACGGGCGCGAAATACTTTTTGAATTATAAATATTAAAATGTTTTCAGGTATTTGAATTCTGGAGTTTTCATGGGCTTTGCCCCTGAGATTTGGAGCTTAATAAACTACAAAGACGTGGAAGATAATGATGACGATCAGTTATATTACACACATCTTTATTTAGATGAAAAAATACGAGTAAGTTTGTCATCGTAATTTTTTCATTTTACAATTCTCTTGGTTTTATGCAACTTGCTTATTATTGAAATAGATTAACTGTATGATCATGAGCATATGGAAATGTCTTTGTGATTAAAATTAAGGACTGAAATTTTTATGAAAACATGATAACAATTCTACTCCTTCCAATTGTGACTTAATTTCCAAAAGCGTTTAAAGCATTATAATATATCAAACTTTATTTTAAAGCTAATGTCTTGAAAGTAGAATAATTACCAGAATCGTTCCTTCTCCTTTTGTACTTAAGTGAAATGGATGAAAGTTGAGATTTTAAAGGTCATGTAAATATATGCAAAATGATTACCAACATGTGTATTGCAAGAATTAATGATGGTACGAGCATTGATAAAGCAAAGCTATAGATAATACGATTATGCTGCTAGTTCTCGTATCTTTCTTCTGGGAACAGCCACTGCTTGGTTGTTTTAGTTATTGTGACTTTCTAGTCTTTCTTTTATGGAAAAAGCTTATACATCACAATATTATTCATGAAATCGTTTTACTGGATTGGATCCTATCGCTATTGATATTTATTCTTAGCATCGTTTTCTTATTTTTTTATATTACTTTACTTAATCGTTTCCTTAGATTTTTATTAGATTTTTGCTGAAGTTCTTTATTTCGAATTTAAAAAATAGCAGAGAATTTGGAATACATGAAATTCATTTAAAGCTGTCACTGAGAATGACACTGGATTCAATGAGCATTCTATTTCAAAATTTAAATGGCGCATCGAATGACGTGAAGTTGGAAACCAGTGATGAAAGAAATGGAACAAATTTTGTGAGTATTTTTTATATTCTGTGAACAGTTCTTTTCTGTTTTGAGTGGATGTGATTGAACAAGATAACAATTTTTTTTTCAAAGTACTGAATAGGTCGAGGTATATTTTTCGAACAGAAAACTTATTTCTAAATTAAATTCATTGCGCATTGGGCCTTATTTCAGATCTACAATTTTATTTATAACACATATCCTTTGGTTATACACGGAAATGGTCCAAGCAAACTCCATTTGAATCATCTCAATAACTACAATGATCCGCTCA